TAAAAAACAAGAATATATGTAAGCAATGACAAAAAAAAAAAAAAACAAACAAACAAAAAAAAACCTTTCTTCCTCAAAGTACACTTTTGAATTCAAGGCATTCTTTTTGTGAATTCCATTTCTATTTATCTCATTTTTTATCATTATTATTTTTAATTAATTAAAAAAACGAAACAAAAACAACCATATCCTTTGGATTTGTTGCATGCTTTCAGAATTATAGTCTGACTTATTTAGTGCCATCTCCAGTTATTGTTGACATACAGAACAGAGAGAGGAAGCAAACAAAATACTAGTTCTGTCACAATAAAAATGCAAGAATAATGCAAAATTTAAAGAAAATACCATTTAAATGTAGATTTTCGAAAGGAAAGAAGGTGATCAATGGTAGTTATAAATTCTGCAAGGCAGGCAGTTGAAATTTTATCATCAGTTCTTCAATTAATTAGCATACAAATATCTGTATTTCCCTGTGTATAACATGGTGTATAGACTGATGCATTAAAGATTCCTTCTAATAATGCATGCGTTTTATTTAAAGTACACAAAACATCCTGAAGTCTTCTTTTTACTCTTGTGTTCATGTATGCATCATTGTGCATTTTTTTTCACTAAATACACCTACTAAAAATGTGTTAAATATCAATAGTTCAATATATATTTTATTTAGCTATTTGCTGTATGATTACTTTTTTTTTTTTTTTTTTTTTAAATATATAATGAATGAACTGAACTGAGTATGCTTAGCACCTTACATGGTTGGCTTCGTTAGAAGTGTATACATTTACTAACGAGATAGCCAGTTACCATCAGAGTATGTTAAATGTACTCAAAATAATAAATTATTTACAGAACAGAAATATCACTTTGAAAAACTTTCCCTCTGTGCAGCACTGCTAATGCTAACAATTGCATCTAAATGCATTCCTTAGCTCTCCCTAAGGACATACATTCTTACTTAGTATCAAAGAGACTGCTCCCATTGTTTATTATCCCTTAGTGATTTGTTTTCATTTTCAAAGTGAATTAAAAAGAAAAAAAAAAAGAAAAAGAAAAAAAAAAAGAAAAAAAGAAAGAAAAAAGACTAACAATTTCTAAAAAGAACACATCAGAAGCTTGGACGAGTTTTAAGCTCACACTGCATTTTAATTTACCTTATTTTAATTTACCTTAACAAAAGCTCTGTATGAGACTAAAACACAAGAATGTTCATGCACTGGATCAGAACAAAGATATATCTTCTTCCATATTCCATTTGAAAGGGAAGTTATATACATAGAACCATAAAGCAAAATCAATTTCATGAGCTATGTCTCCTAATATCCTTTCTGCCTTCAGAATTGACCTAATTGGTGCGGAACCCAAGTGGACTGCCAGAAGTCATTACATTCTTTAGCACAGCTTTCCAAAGAATTACTGCCTTCTTCTTTGGACCTGTCTCCTACTGACTTCAATTGATGCCCCTTAGATATTAAACTAAGAGACAATGTGAACAATCTCTCCTTGTCCGCCTTCTCCATACCACTTACAAAAATGAATTTCGCACTTACTAATAGAACATTCTGAGTTGGAAAGGATCCACAAGGATCATCAAGTACATATTCTGGAATACTAATGAAGAGATTAAAGACTTTCAAAGTAAAATGGAAAATCATGTAGGTTCTTTAAGATTGGAATGTATTTGAAAAAAAAAAAAAATAGCATTTTAAAGTATAAATATTATATTTTGTTAACCCAATACAGCATAACAAAGCAGTGAGTTGTGCAGCAATTCAGAAGGTTTCTTTTTATCTTGTCTTGACCGGTCTATTTTTGCTCAATGATAAAATCTGTAGGTGAAGGAAAATTTCCTTATCCTTAAAAGTAACTAATCATGTTCAGATTTTACATTTGCAAATGTACATATATGTGTTTGGGAAGGGGTGTGTGAGGTACCAGAGAGAGAAATTGTAAGTAGAAGAAATTGCCTTGCAGCTTTGAAAATCCTCACATAACCAGAGGTCTATCTGCAGTTAAAGAACAAACCAAAGTCATATCTCAGAGAAAACAGGAAAGAAACTTATCTACAAAACAAGAAGGGAAATTCTGTGAAGTTTGTTCAGCCCAGAAAGCTACTGGAAATTGCTAGGCTGAAAGAAGAAAAAAAAAAAAAAAGAAAAAAAAAAGAAAAAAAAAATTGAAACGGCACAGTGAGAAAAAGAAATTTTCATATATAATGCTTTCGATCAAAGAGGTATCCCTATTCATCCAATTCTCTTTTATAGTATCTGTGTTCTGATAAAATATTCACTGTAGGAACTGAAAGTATTTTTAGACTGCTGTTGTTCTCGGTTCACAAAAACAGCAAGGCATGATTGCATGTAAGGTAGCATGCCTCAGAGAGAGTGAGGAAAAAAATATTTAGAAATAATTTTAACAGTTTAAGTTTGCAGAGTGCCATTCTTGTTAGTCACATAGTCCATGACTACTTGCAAAATTTGTGTAGAACAAAAGGATTGGATAGAGCAAAACAATCAAGATAGAGGATTGGATCAACATACTAAATACATCTCAAAGTATTTTATTTCTGAGTAGCTTCCTATGAACTGAACACCCACTTGCAGCTGAAGCACATTATGTGCATACATACAGTGCATCTTCCACATAGATTTCCTCTAAAATAATGCCAGTTCCTTTTTTAAGATATTGTTTTACAATTAACTGAAAGAGATTTAGCAGGGACTGACATCAAGGAAATTTTCTTCAAAAGCCTACTGGTAATCTAGACTAGATCTTTAATTCAAACATACTCATGATAGCTAGCACCTATTCAGGACTTTTGTTCTTACTGCTGTATGATTCAGAAAGCTGAGTAATCTTTATCCCTGTGTGTTGATTTGATTTTTAAATGAGGTTCCATTTTATTAATTGCATGCTATGTAAAGTGCTTTGAGACTGAATAATGAAGGGGGTTATTAAGCTCCAAGAACTGTATTAAGTGGTAGCATACTTCTACAGATTTACCATGCAGTATGCATATGTATTACTGCTATTACTTCTACAGATGTCCTGTTGTAGACTGAAGAGTTCAGTGTTTATTTGCATATGTAGTACTTTCAGGCATATAATACACATATACTGGATCTCTCTGGAAGGGAGATTGTTTTCTTTATAGCAGCCTGTTTGGTGATGTGTTGTAGAACTGTGAGCCATCAATCAGAAACTTGCTGGGCATTGGTCTGCTTGTAAGATGTGGTGAGTGATTGTTTTTGCATTGCTTGTTTGTTTGACTGTTTTTTCCTCTTTCTGATACTAAACTGAATTTTTTCTTGACCCACAATTTTTCTTTACTTCTTTTGATTCACTTTTCCATCTTCTCGTGGGAGAAAGGAGTGGGGAGTGGGAACAAGTGTCTTCTAGATGCTTAATTGATGATGTGCGTCAGCCCACTATGCCTCAAAACTCCCAGTGTTTTAAGTTAAGTCTTAGAACAGCCAAAACAGAAGAGTATATACATATATATAATGCTATTGATAAAAGAAAAGAAAAGAGAAACAAAGCTATATGTAACTAATAGTCAGTTATTAGGAAAGAAGTAATATCTTGTGCAGAATAGAAGGTAAAATTCTACTGTGGGAAAAGTTATTTATAATCATGTATCATAATAATGCAACCAATGCTTAGCCAAGCAATATTATTTTATTAATATATGACTTATCTTCTTATGATGTCATGTATATATATGCCTCTATTGTTCAGCTTCTAATAGTTCCTGTACCTTATACATAGAGAAAAAATTGGATCATTATGTTTGCTGATCAGACAGTGATTCAGAACTGGTAGTGCTGTTTGCATTGGATTCTCAGCTTTCACTTCATAATGGAAGTAAGAGACATGTAAGAAAGACCATAAGACATCTTTAACCAAGAACTACAAGGGCTACTCCAAAATTAATACCTCCCATTTTATTGTGTTAGTTCACAAAATCAGACAGGGATGTTGGTGTTATGGCAGTAAAGTAGAACCTTCCTGCCAATATTCCGTCATGTTCTGTTGCCATGTGACAGATTGCAGCAGAGAGGCAGTCTGACAAAATGGTGTCTGACATGTAAATGCATATGAAGCAAAGGATTGTCACTGAGTTCCTCCACATGGAAAAAGAAAATGATATTTTTGAAGGTAAGGAAAGGGAAAGGGCCAATGGGATCTCTGTCCAGGCTGGAGGGTGTAGCTGTGCTTTCCCCTTTGCAGATTCAGACAGTAGCAGCACCGAGCCTCATAGGATGCTGATACTGTTGGCCACACGGATTGCTCCAGATAAGCCAATGATAAAATAAGGATGGAGATTCTCCCTACCCATCCTCTTACTGTTGATGTATTTATAGAAATATTTATTGCTGTCCTTCATCTTAGTGGCCAAGTTCAGTTCTAACTGGGCTTTAACCTTTCTAATTTTCTCCCTGCACAGCTTCTCTACATACTTGTAATCCTCATAAGTCGCTTGCCACCTCTTCCAAAGACCATAAACTTTCCTTTTGTTCCTGAGGTTCAGTCAAAGATCTCTGTTCAGCCAGATTGGCCTCTTCCGTGCCGGTTCGTCTTCACTGACTTGGGGATTGTCAGTTCCTGCACCTTTGAAATAACTTCCTTACAGCATTCCCAGCCTTTCTAGGCTCCCATGAAGGGAACAGAATGCCCAACATGTAGACCAGATCTACTACACAAGGAAGTGTAGTAGTCCTGGGAGGCTGGGTTAAAGATGTAAGGAAGAAATTTCCTTCCCTAGTACAGCCCTCATATTATTATTCCCTGTTGTTATTTCAAGTAGACAGTGAAGACATAGGACTATTTCCTCATAGTCTTCCCTAGGGACTATGAAGAAGGACTTCAGAGCCTTGGGGTGACTGGTCGAGAGTATGGGAGCACAAGTCAGGTTCTCCTCCATCCCTCCAGTTATAGGGAATGATGAGGGTCTGAACACAACGGGCCAATGGATTAATACTTGGCTCCAAGCATCTTCACTATACAGTCCCGCGAATGAGTGCCAAACAGTTTAAACCTCCCGCCATTGCCTCGGCAATGCCCACACTGCCTACCCTCTCTCCTGAGGCTTCTGCCGGGTCACTCTCCTCTCCCGGGTTTCCCCAGGGGAACGAAAGGTGCCGAAACCACCTTGTATCTCGAGATTCGTTGTCGTGGCTCTGGTGGTACTGGCTCCAAAGCAGCAGACCTTGGCTATACTCAGCTAAAAAGACTGATTATATCTCTGCTATCTAGACTTCAAGCAAGAATTTATCAAAAAGCATTATAAACAGATTGACTTTTACCACCCCTCTTCATTTTGTATACAGAGTAGCTGGTTGGAGTGTTTTCAGTTGATCTTGTCTAAATCAAATATTAAAGGTTTTCACTGAGACAGTTTCCCTGTTTTGTTGTTGTTGTTGTTGTTGTTTTTAGTTGGGAATATATCTATGAGCTGGGGGGGGAAAAAAAAAAAAAAAAAAGAGGAAAAAAAAAAGGAAAAAAACAAATCAAACAAATAAACAAAAAACCCTGAACCAAAAAGCAGAAGAATGAAGAACATATTATGTTACGAATGATTCAGAAGTAGATGAAATTGAATATCTTTACAACATACAACTCTAGTTTTAGTGTTATTTTCAAAAGGTCACATTTTGTAACATTCAAGCTTTGTAAAAATACTTAAAATCTTTTATACAATAAAAATAATTATATAAATGTATACATAAGTAATAATAAAAAATAGAATAAATATATCTCCCTTTGCCCGAATTTATTTTGGATTAATAAAACTATGCATATATTTCTCACTTATCAGGCAATAAATCAACCAGTTCATCTTTCTGGTGCTGACCCTAGTTAGATACAACTGTGTTTAATTAGATCTCATTCTAGTACTCTCCTGACTACTTTTCTTGGAAGTTATTCAAAAAATAACTGATAAAAGTATTCAAAAATAAGCTCATTGCTAAGCTTTGTACACTTTATTTCATTTTCATAACAAGTAAAGTTTTTGAATTGGAGAAACTTAGATTCCTTCTCAAGTTATCTGATTATCTCAGACCTCTTGGGTTCAAGAATGTTCTTCTCTTTTAAGGCAAAAGAGTGAAAATACATCCTGCTGTATTTTGCCTTTGGATGCCTGACTTCATATTCAACAGAAGATTTAAAGATTTAAAGTACCTTTTTTTTTTTTTTTTTTTTTTTTTTTTTTTTTTTTTCCCGTGCGGAAGAGGGAGTCTTACTAGCAGTGAAAGCTAAGATGTTCATATATGCGGTGATTTAACTCTAAATGGGCAGCCAAAGAACCACCATGCTACTCTCACACTGTCTGTCCTCAAAATGACAGGAGGAGAAAATATGATGAAAAAAGCTCATAGGTTGAGATAAGGACAGAGAGTTAACTCACCAATTACTGTCAAACACAAAACAGTCTCAGAATAAGGGACATTAGTGCAACATATTGCCAACTGATAACAGATTAGAGCAGTGAGAACTAAAAGCAAAAGTGAAAATATGTTTTTTTTTCCATCTACTCTATCTCCTCTTACAAAGTAGAGCAGGGGAAAAAGAAATACATACCACAGTTAGTTCATAACATTTCTTCTTTACTGCTCCTTCTCTTCCCCCATTCCAGAGTATGATCTCTCCCATGAGTTGCAGCTCTTCCCAAACTGTGATGAGCGTCCCACAGGCTGCAGTTTTTTTAAGAAGTGCACCATGAGATCCATCCTTTAGGAACAAACAGCTCCAGCATGGGTCCCCCACTGGCAGCAGTTCCTACCAGACCTCGTGCTCCACTGTGGGTATCTCTTCATGGGCTGCAGCTCCAGCCGATAGTCTTCTTCTGCAGGGGCTATCCATGAATAGTAGTTTCCTTCAGGCCATATCCACCTGCTCCAGCATGGGCTCTTCCTCAGGCTACAGTGTGGATATCTGCTCTGATGATGCCTCATGGGCTGCAAGGGAACAGCCTGATACACCATGGGCCTCTCCTGGGCTGCAAGGAAACTTTGCAGAGCCAGTCCTCCTACACTGACCATGGGTGTCTGCTCAGCTGCTTCTCTGAAATTTTCTCTCTTCTTTCTCCCCCCCGCTGCTGTGTCAAACAAAAGGACAATGAATAAGTGAGAGACGGAAGACAACTGAAAGGAGGAGTAGGAGTTATTGAACAGTTATGAAGAGAGACTCCTACTGACTTAGTTTAATCTGGATGCCGTGTGCAAACTGAGATGACTTTTAACAATTAAAGAACCACATGTACTGTACCATATAGCTGTAAATCAACATCTTCTTACTGCTAAAAGCAATATAGGAAGTCTGCTTCAAATGCTTCAAGCCACTCCAATATTTTACCTTCCTCTTTTCCTCAGAAATGTGCCTCTGCTCATTATTTGGGAAATTTACTTATTTGCTGAAAGCCATAGTTCTTTATAGCACCAAAGAAAATTGAAAGGCAGCTACATAAAATAAAAATTACCATATACTCTTTAGACTTCATACAAGCTTCATCAGCTACTGCAATCTCTTGTCTATGTTCTGCTCAATTCCTCCTTTACCTCAGTTATGTCCTTTTCATCATCATCACTTGCTAGTCTTCTTCTTCTATGTTCATAAAGCTATTTTTCCTGTGTTTTGCAACTCTTTGATTTTATTTTCATTCTTTCCCATTGTAGATAGTGCTCATCTAACAACATCCATTGCTAACAACTTCTATTTCCAATTGTTCATTCTATTATATATAGCTGGTAGAACTCCATGTCCAAATTGATACATTCCTCCTAATATATATTTATTTTTCTAAGATTCAATATTCATTTCTTCATCGTTCTATTCCTCCAGTTTTCTGATAGAATTTCCCTTGTGCTTATCCTAGTTATTGAAATTTCATCTCAAATTCAGAAGAATTGTTAATCTTTGCACTAAAACATATGTGTATATACGAAATGACTGTGAAAAAATTTAAATCTTTACTTATTCCAAACCTTACTGAGAATTTCTGTGAGGGTCCTTCTGCATTTTCAGGTCTTTGTAATATCCTAATCTGTGTTATTCAAGAACTTAAAGCTATTTTTTATGGCAAACTTTCAGACTAATCTTGTCTTCTCGAAAATATGTTCAATTAAGAAGGATTAGAGGGTACTTCCCAGGGAAAATTAAGGAACTCTGAGCTAAATGTAATACTTCATAAATTTCTGTTAATGAATATTAATTGTTTTTTAACTTTATGTAGGAAAATATGTTCCAGAATACTTAGCTTCAAGATTCTTAATTCATTAATTTTGATGGTTTTCCTCCACTCAGAATGAATCTGTATTCATTCTGTTCCTTATATTAAGCTTTTGTAAACCTCAGCTTCATGCCCCTTGGACCTCCTTTACTCTGTGGAAATGAATTACTTCCTTTAGTATGCAGATCAGTTCATCAATTGAAAGGCTGATGTCATCTTTTTAATCTTTTATATCTGGACTTTGTACTTTCATTTCTGTCCTTCAACAAAGCAAAATTATTCCTAATAAATTAATTACAAGAGTAGCTCTGATGAGAACCCAGACTGTGAAGTAAAAACACATTTTGTTCTCAAAGAAATAAGTATGACATTTTAATTACATTCTTTAGCAGCAGAATTCTCTGTTTTCTTTAGAAAATTATGTACATGCATTAAAATTGTTAAATATATATTTATTAATTTTTCTGGTGTTTCAACATTAATGTTTTTGAATATGAGTGTTCAGTATTATAGCGAAAAAACTGAGGCAGTATTCACTATTTTAAAAGTTGATAGACAACTTGGATGTATATGGATAATTAAGGTAGATACCCTTATCTTTGTAAATTCTTTCTTTTCAGGACAACTGCTAATAAGTGTCTCTCTGTAAGAAGTGAAGCAATGGCTTACACCACTATACATTTTGAGCAAACACTATAATGCATGCAATTGAATGACCTATCTCAAACTGTTAGTCTAATCCCCTACACCAATGTAACTGATTCTTCTTGACATAAATATGGAAAATATGACTTGGTGGATTTGCAAGCTCTTCTACTGATATGACTGGACAAAGAAGAAGTCTTCGATTTGCAATCATTGGCTAGACAGAAACAAAACCAATTCTGGTTTAAATAAAAATATATATATATACACATTTCTGTCATGTTCTTTAACATAAGTACTCAAAAATTTTGAACTATCCTCTCAGGACCCTGGAGATTATGAGGATTTGGCTGTGGGGGCTGTAGACTAGATGTTTGTTGCTGCTGACCCTGGGAGAGACTCCTCATGCAGTGTCTGGGCAAGGGAAGCCCTTGGCCATGCTGGCCCTGGCCCTGTCTTCTGTCTGTGGTTCACCAAGTCTTGTTCCCAGATTCACTCTCAGTATCTTGTGGCTTTGCTTGTATCCAGCCCTTGCTTCATCCCCATGATCTTGAACAGCCATCCTGGAGCTGGATCTGACTCTGGCCATTATCCATCAATTTATCCCTGTCCCAGCTCAGTCACAATTCGTCCCCATCTTCAGGGAAGTATCTGATACCCAGTGTTTAATCTGTTCTAATACTCCAGCTGCCCTGCTTCCATCTGGTGCAGTGAGACAGGCCCTGGCTGTCAGGTCTTACTGTGGTGAACCCTGGAAAACTCTCATCACTCACATTGTGCTTGTCCATGCAGATCTGTCAGCAGGAAGATGTCATATCAGTCATTCCTGAACTGATCCTATATGAGCTTCCCATGAACAGCAGTACATCAAGAACTGCTCCAGTATGAGTCCACTCCACTGATATGGGTTGGTTTGTTTAGCAATAGCGATTAGTACATTAGTTTTAATAATATTTTTATTATTTTTAATACCAGTGTATTATTTTAGCAAAAGGAATCCATAACGTGTGATAGTTCTGTAACTTTCCATTTCAGCATTAGTGTGAACTGTCTTGCTTTTCCTCAATAATTTTGCATTGGGGATATCATAAAATACTTCTATCTACTGCCTCAGTGATTTTATCTCACAAGAAGTATTGGAGTCACAATCAAATACTTTTTTCTCAGAATGTGCAAGGACATTTTTCTTGGTTTCCACATGGATTGTTTTTAAAAAGTGACTCACAGTGGCCTAATAAGCAATGGAAATCCTCCAAACTGGGGAAAAGTAGATGGAAGCGGGTCAGAGGCTTCAGTGATAGTGAAAAAAAAAGGAAAGAAGTAGGTGAGCACTTGACCACCCTAAGATACCACTGAGCATGCCCAAAGCGACATTAGCACATATCTATGAGACTTTGAAAAACAATGAACATGTATGCCAAAGTACAGCATATGTGTATCTTAATTGTATAAATGTAGAACCAGAACTCTGAGAGGGTGAGCTTGCTTGTCAAGTTGCCCGATGCCCATCATGAGGAATAAAGAAATGCTGCTTTCTAACACCACATTGGAGTCAGAGAGTTTTCTTCCCAGATTTTAGATAACACCATGGGGTGCACAAATGGACTGCTCCATCATGGGTCTCCCACTGGCAGTAGCTTCAACCAGGCTTCTTGCTTCAGCATGGGCTCCTCTCTACAGTCTGCATCTCCCTTCTAGGGCCTGCTTCTGTATGGTTACTCCATAGACTACAGCATCCTTCAGACCAATACCATCTGCTCTGATATGGACTCCAGCTTGAGCTGCATTAGGAGTCCTCATACGCGTGCAGTTCATGGACCACTATGATCTGCAGGGGGACAGACTGCTCTACTATGGCCTCTCCATGGGCTGCAGGAAACCTTCGTTCCATGCCTGGAACAACTCCTGCCCTCCTTTGTCATTGACCTTTGTGTCTGCAGGGTTGTATCTCTCAGAATTTCTCATTTCTCTATCCCAGCTGCTTCTGTGCAGCAGGATTTTCCCCTTCTTAAATCTGCTATTATAGTGATGCAATCAGTATAGCTAGTAGTTCAGTTCTGACCAGCAGTGGGTCCCTTTTCAGAACTGACTGGAAGTGTCTGTTCTCTGATATTTGGCAGGTTCTGGACTCTTTTCACAGAGCGCACCCCTGCAGCCTCCTCTACCAAAACCTTTGCCAGCTAAACCAAATACAGTACTTTTAGGGGATGTACTTACAGTGATTTGACCATCATAACTATATGAAGAGAAAGCGGAAACTGCAAAGTATTACCTAGTTTAAGTAGAAGGATTAAAAGGAAATCACATTTTTTTTCACTTTGCCAGGTAAGTTCTTTTCTCCAATCAGCCACGATTTAGTGCCTTCTTGGGCTGATAAAGCTCTTTCAAGCCCTTCTTGTATCACTGTGGGACATGATTATAAATCTCTCGAAAGCTAGCTCTGTCACCTTTCATCTGCAACCTTCTGCTCCTGCTACAAGCATCTCTGTTTTATTCCACTGACTGTCTTTTCACTTTGAAAATACACTAATTTTTCTAAATATCTCAATGAAGGTACAATACCTTCCTCTCTTTAAAGGAATGCTCTTGATCTGGAGTCTATAAGTCAAGACAAGGTGAATCCCTGCTGCCTAGCTTCCTTCACCTTTGTTATGCAAAATACAAAACCAATTAGAAGAACTGGAATAAACAAGTTTAATAGCTTTCTCATTCATCATGCTCTGCATCAACTCTCATTCTCAGAAGAGGACATTAAACTTCACTGAGCTGTAGTACAATTGCTCTCTGATGAAACAACTAATTTGTTTTGTATTCTTGGAACAATTCATTTATAGCCAGTTTAGTCTGCAATGTAGACATGAGCAAGGAACACAAATCTTTTCAAGGCTTCCTATTGGAAGCTTTATAGGTTCCTAAAGGATATCTATCTGTCCCTCTTTTAAGTTTAACCTCCAAAGAATAATAAAATAAATAAATAAATAAATAAAAATGCATTAGCAAAACCTTACTGAGAACTGACATCTTTAAGCCGGAGTAGAGCATATTCTTTTCCCCTAGTGCACAACGTACATCTTAAAGTCTATTTAATGACCCTATGGTATAGTAGTAATTTTGTTTGTCTTCTTTCTTTACTTTTATCTGTTTTTCTAAAACAAAACAAACAAACAAACAAACAAAAATCTTCCACACTATGCTTCTTTTTCTGTCTCTGGTCATGAATCCTGTATTTATTTTTCATCTAAAGACATTATTTTAAATATCTAAAATACCACAATTTCAGTTTCCTTCTTCAGTAACATTTTTATGTCAACAGGTAACTGTTGATCACCTGTACACATTCCCTTATCAGTATTTTGTAAGACTAAGAGATCATTTTGCAGCATTTAAAAAAAAAAAAAAAAAAGAATAAATATATATATATATTTTTTAATGATAAACCTGAAATACAACAAACTTCAGAATATTCTGAGGGCTTTCTTAAATAAACATGCATCTTTTAGTCTAAGTCCAGAAAGAATTAAAAACTTTAGAAATAGAAAAGAGAATATTAACTTTTAGAAAGTGTTATTTCTGATTAAATGTAAAATTCTGTTTTTCTTCTCTCATTCTTTATTTTCTCTAAATATGCTCCTTTCATTTTAAATAATACATATGGTTAAAAACTTATGAATATCAGTAGGTATGTGGATTTTTGTTTTGTTTTGTTTTTGTTTTTCCCCAAAACATTTATCCACGTACATGTCAGGATAATTCAAACTAACACATTAATTAAAAAGTAATAAACTGGTGAAAAATTATTTGAAATTGCTTTTTGCTATCCTTAACCTATTGTCAAAATTATACATCAACTGCTGCAGTTTTCTGGCATATGACACTTAAACAGCAAAGATTTTTCAGTTGATGCAAAATGAAAAACTTAACAGCACATTTATATATTGGTAAGAAACCTGAGTGGCTTACTCTTGCAAGATGTTTCTGGTCAAAATCTACCTTAAAATCTTTAAGTAAATGACATACTGAAGCATGAAATCTTAAATGCAACACCTTATCTGACTAGAATGCCTCATATCAGCACTTCAGCTCATAAAAAAACAGTTTTGAAATATGTATATTTTATTTCTAGTTTGCATGAGCACATTTATCTCAAACGTTTGGCTTCTCAGAGTTGACAGTGCTTGCCATGCATATGTCAACTCTAATACTTCGCAGATACTGTGGATGTTGTTATTGCCATGTTGTTGCTCAGTCTAGGTCACCTTTTGTTATCAGCTCTTTTAAAATGTGCTGTTAACTTGACAAAGACCTTGCAGCCTTATAAACTTTTTTAACGGGGATATATTAACAGCAAGTTTTTTATTTCTTGGGTAATATCACAGTCTCCTTGATAAGCTGTAGGGATACCAATAAAAACTACATATCTACAAAGCAGTCAACTCAAAAAGCACCCTCACTGTTTGGCTTGTATTCTAAAGATGCAAGTACAGTGTTGTGGGTGTTTTTGTTTGTTTCTTTCTTTCTTGTTGCTGCTGTGTTTGTTTTCTTGTGATTTGCATTTTTGTTGTTTTTGTTGTTGTTTTATCTACTTCATTCTTATTTAGTTCCTCTTAATGTTACAAAACATAACCTAGAAAATTATTAGTTTAGTGGCAGTATCATGTCTTAAACTGAATTCAAACCACAGTGTCAAATCTCCAGGGAGGTAGTGAATAATGACAATTTTATAAGTCATTTATATATAAAATATTTCTAGTCTGCTTCCCCAAAGCCAAGATCTGGGGCATAAAAACATAGAAACAAAGTAAAATCCTGTCCATTTTGCTTTGTCATTCATTATTCTCCACGACTTAAAATTTATTTCCGCCTGAGCAGATTTCTTCTCTCTGGATCAATATAGAATTGGCAAAGAGTTCTGAAATTGCTGGAATGGACTAGATGGTGTCTAGACCTTCCTTACAACCTTGAGCATTCTGTGATTCTGTGCAGAGTCACTAGGTTGTACATAAAAATATTGATGGATCTTATTACAGAGGCAATGAGTGCATTTTTTTCTATTTATATTTCATAGAAATATATATATAAAGAACCGCAGAATCACAAGTTCTGGGATCTACTTTTCAGCTGAGAGATTATAGAAAGAATAAGTCCTACTTGATTGCCAGCTAATAGAGCCTTTTTCTATGAAGTATAGCTGACAACAGGATACCACACCAGCTGGGTTATACTGTAAAACAATCTTACAGTTCCTATGCTACCAAGAACACCTTTTACTACAGTTTCTGTTTTCTTTTCAGCATATTTATCTTCACCCTCTCCCTCCCGTTCCTTACTTGCATTTGGAATTTTTTTTCATTCTTATGTCTTCGACTTTTTTTCATTCAAGTTTTTATGAAACTTTTCAGCAAATGGGATTTTTTGTCTGTTAATTTAGCTAATCACAGAATCACAGAATCACAGAATCGTAGGGGTTGGAAGGGACCTCCAGAGATCATCGAGTGCAACCCCCCTGCCAAAGCAGGTTCCTTATACCAGGTCACACAAGTAGGTGTCCAGGCGGGTCTTGAATGTCTCCAGAGAAGGAGACTGCACAACCCCCCTGGGCAGCCTGTTCCAGTGCTCCGTCACCCTCACCGTAAAGAAGTCCTTGCGCACATTTGTATGGAACTTCCTATGCTCCAGTTTCTGTCCGTTTTCCCTTGTCCTGTCTCCACACACTGCTGAAAACAGTCTGGCCTCACCACTCTGCCCCCCACACCTTAGATATTTATAGACCTGGATCAGGTCCCCTCTCAGTCTTCTTTTCTCAAGGCTAAACAGACCCAGTTCACTTAGCCTTTCTTCATAGAGGAGATGCTCCAGGCCCTTCACCATCTTTGTGGCCCTCCGCTGGACTCTTTCCAAGAGTCTGTCTTTTTTGTACTGGGGAGCCCAGAACTGGACACAGTACTCCAGATGGGGCCTTACCAGGGCAGAGTAGAGGGGGAGGATCACCTCCCTCAACCTGCTGGCCACGCTCTTCTTAATGCACCTCAGAATGCCATTGGCCTTTTTTGGCCACAAGGGCACACTGCTGGCTCATGGCCAACATGTCGTCCACCAGGACACCCAGGTTCCTCTCTGCAGAGCTCCTCTCCAGCAGGTCATCCCCTAACCTGTACTGGTGCATGCAATTATTCCTCCCTAGATGCAAGACTCTACACTTGCTTTTGTTAAACCTCATCTGGTTTCTTAGTGCCCAACTCTCCAGCCTGTCTAGCTCTCGCTGAATGGCAGCACAGCCTTCGGGTGTGTCAATCAATCCTCCCAACTTCATATCATTAGCAAACTTGCTGAGGGTGGCCACTATCCCCTCATCAAGGTCATTGATGAAGATGTTGAACATGACTGGAGCCACCACCAACCCCTGAGGAACACCGCTAGTTACAGGTCTCCAACCAGACTCTGTACCACCAGTGACGACCCTCTGTGCTCTGCCAGTCAGCCAGTTCTCAACCCACGTCACTGTCCATTCATCTATCCCACGCTTCCTCAGCTTTGTTATATGGATGTTGTGGGAGACAGTATCAAATGCCTTGCTGAAATCAAGGTAGACTACATCCACTGCTCTCCCCCCATCCACCCAGCCAGTGACAACACCGTAGAAGGCTACCAGGTTGGTCAAGAATGACTTCCCCCTGGTGAACCCATGCTGACCACTCCTGATAACCTCCTTTTCTTCCAGTTGTCTGGAGATGGCATCCAGCACAAGCTGTTCCATCACCTCTCCAGGGACAGAGGTGAGGCTGACTGGCCTGTAATTACCTGGATCTTCCTTCTCCCTGTATTTGAAGACCGGAGTGACATTGGCTATCCTCCAGTCTTCAGGCACCTCCCCCATTCTCCAAGACCTCTCAAAGATGACAGAAAGAGGTTCAGCAATCACCTCCACCAGCTCCCTCTGCACCCATGGATGCATCCCATTGGGTCCCATGGATTTATGAACATTGGTGTTGCCTAGGCGCTCTCGGACCACCTCTTCCCTGACTAAAGGGAAGTCTTCCATTCCCCAGACCCTCTCACTAACCTCCAGGGTCCAGGATTCCCGAAGGAGAGCTTTTTCACTGAAGACACAAGCAAAGAAGGCATTCAGTATCTCTGCCTTCTCAGCATTCCCTGTTACCAGAATACTCCCCTCACTTGGTAGGGGAGTCACATTCTCCCTAGTCTTCCTTTCACTGTTAACATACTTAAAAAAGCCTTTTTTATTGTTCTTTATCACCTTTGCCAGGTTCAATTCCAGGCAGGCTTTAGTCTTCCTTGTCACATCCCTGCAGGTCCTAACAACATTTCTATATTCTTCCCAAGTGGTCAGACCCTTTTTCCACATTTCATGGACCTTCTTTCCTTTGAATTTGTGCACAAGCTCCTTGCTCATCCACACAGGTCTTCTGCCACCCTTTCCTGATTTCTTGCTCACAGGATGCACTGATCCTGAGCTTAGAAGAACAGCTGTTTAAATGCCAACCAGGTCTCACAGGCCCCCTTACCTTCTAACACCCTAGCCCACAGGATAGCTCCAAGTAGGTCCCGGAAGAGACCAAAGTTGGCTCTCCTAAAGTCCAGGGTAGCAATCCTACTTTTTGCTTTGCTTCTTCCACTCAAGTTCTTGAACTCCACCATCTTGTGGTCACTACAACCCAAGCTTTACTTCCTTGACAAGCCCTTCCTTATTAGTGAGAATAAGGTCCAGCAACATCCCTCCCCTCGTCGGTTCCTCCACCACCTGCATCAGAAAGTTGTCTTCAACACATTGCAGGAACCGTCTGGACCACACATGCCTGGCCACGTTGCTTATCTAGCAAATATCTGGATAATTGAAGTCCCCCATTAGCACCAGCGCCTGGGATCATGACACTACTTCCAGTTGCTTATGGAAGGCCTCATCAACCTCCTCCTCCTGATCAGGGGTCTGTAGTACACCCCCACAACAGTGTCAGCCATACCAGCCCTCCCCTTGATTCTCACCCACAAGCTCTCCACTGCTACACCATTCTCCCCCAGGTGGAGTTCAATACATTCTAGCTGCTCTCTCACATAAAGAGCAACTCCACGTCCCCGCCTTGCCAGCCAATCTTTCCTAAAAAGCACATAGCCCTCCATGACAACATTCCAGTCATGCGAGCTGTCCCACCACATCTCCACAATTGCAGTGAGATTGTAGCGGTGCGACCTCACACAGATTTCCAACTCTTCCTGTTTATTTCCCATACTGTGTACATTAGTGTACAGACACTTTAGGGAAGCAGCATCCCCCTGCCACTCTCGATCCCTTTGAACTCCTCCCTCATCATCCGTCAAGCTCTGTTTTGAGCCTCAAACTATCCACTCAACCCCAGTGGCCCTCATTTTGTCCCCTTCCCCCTTCTCACCTAGTTTATTCTAGTGCTCTGAGAAGGAGAAACTCACTGTGGCTGGTAAAACTTAAACAATCTCAAACATCAGTCCCAGGAAATATGCAAGATTTTCCAATGGCAGATTCACATAGGTAGAATTAAACTACTGGTTTGACCTTTTCTTCTGTTGGAATTAAATTATTTGTGTTGGGTGATTTGAGTATCTGATGCCACTGATCATTTCTAAGTGCTTGTACCTCACCAGATAAATAAAGTAAACTCCTACTTAATTTTAAAATCCTTCTTGGAAACCAATCTCTCTTAAAAGGGTTTCCAGAGTTTCCAAGTTATCTGAAAAAATCCTAACAAAGTAAATGCAATAACCTAAGTAAATTTCAGATATCCGTAATATGTAAAATAGTATAAAAGCACTGAAATACCAGCATCAGTAACTGGGTGGTATTTGGAAGAGTGGATGACACAAAGAAGAACTGTGAAATTAATATTATAGTCTGACATTTCTTGCTTCCTTTAAGTAGTTCTGTCTGTTGGTTATAAAATTGCAATTGCAAATATGTAGAACAATCTTACGCTATTAACCATAGACTGCTTATTAGACATTTATGCAAAGCCACGTTGTACATCCTCCTTCCCATGCCAGGGAGATCTATCAAAAGACAATTGCAAACAGTAAAAATAATTCCGTGGCTGCTGTTATATGAAAATATCTATCTGGAAACAACTTTTCAAGTGTCTTTGCTGTAGAAAAAACAGCTGGCTTCAGAAGAACAGATAGTAGCTCAAGACTGTATGCAACGTACTGTGATATATATTATATGTGTGATGACCCTGACAGTTATAAATGCCCAACATTTTTCATTACAATGTTCTACTCTGCCCTTGTGAGGCCCCATCTGGAATACTGCTTCCACATCTGGGGCCCTCAGTACAAGAAAGACAGGGAGCTGTTGGAGAGTGTCCAGAGGAGGGCCACAAAGATGATCAGGGGGCTGCACCTTCCCTACAAAGGCTGAGGGAGCAGAGCTTGTTCAGCCTAGAGAAGAGGAGGGTGGAGGGTGACCTCATTGCAGCCTTTCAGTACCTAAAGGAAGCCTACAAACAGGAGGGAAGTCAACTATTTGAAAGGGTAGATAATATCAGGACAAGGGGAAATGGTTTTAAGTTGATGGAGGGAAGATTTAGGTTGGACATCAAGGGGAAGTTCTTTACTGTGAGAGTGGTGAGGTGCTGGCACAGGCTGCCCAGAGAGGCTGTGGATGCCCCATCCCTGGAGGTGTTCAAGGCCAGGCTGGATGGGGCCCTGGGCAGCCTGGTCTAGTATTAGGAGGTTGGTGTCTCTGCATGTGGCAGGGGGGTTGGAGATTCATGATCGTTGAGGTCCCTTCCAACCCAAGCCATTCTATGATTCTGTGTTTTTTTTTGTTTTTTTTTGTGTTTTTTGTGTTGTTGTTGTTTTTTTTTAAGTGCTATGAGTGAAATACCATCTATACTGTTACACATGTATCTCTCTGAGAGTATATTCCATATTATGTGACTGCTAACTATATAATAGTTGGGCAATTACTGAGATATACAGTGATCCATGGATTGTAGCACTAAATCACTTCATCATAAGTTATCAATGTTTCATAGTCAAGTCGAATAAATTGTGGCATATATGAAATTTTCTTTACCAAAACCTAAGGAATTAAATTAGAAAACACTGTCAGGTACACAAACTGTGATATTACTATTGATTAGGTACTACGACAGTATGATAGTCCAGATGTTCATTCTCGAGGAAAACTAAAAATATCCTACTTATTAATATGTTACTGCTCTTTGCTTCATACATTGATATTTTTCCTTATAATAAATTGATCTAAAAAAATTATAATCATAATGCATAAAAAAAATTGCTTGCAAACCTCACATATATGTTGTCAGTTTGGAGAATTAGAATAGATAGATGTAATCATTAATAACATAATTTGAATTTTAAAAGCCTATTTGCAGTAAGTATATCATTATTACTTCACAATCTTTAAATTAAAATGTATTCTGTATTATCTCTTACTAATTCTCATTTAAAATTAGATAACATGCTTTGCATAGTTAATACAGAGGAACATAATTAACCTCTATATGGTTGATGTCTTCCTCAGCATTCTAGTCTAACCACCTTGGAGTTATGTAATTACACAGAATTATAAAGTAATAAAATAGATGTTTTTTATTATATACTAATTACAAAAGAAACCTATGTGGTTTATCAAAAACTACATAGCATATATATATATTCCTAAGCAAGAATTTTCAAGCTTGTTATTCTAGAAATAACAAGTATTAAAAGAGATGGGCTTAACAGAAAATCATGTTCAGTATGAATTACAACTGATCTAGAAACAATGCAAAAGGATACTGTGGATTTTAAATTTAAAAGGGTGGTCTCTAAGATTTTGTTATTTCAAATAATAGGAAAATAACTAGAGGAAGTATACACAACATTAGCATTTGATAATGTAATAAAGATTAAAATTAAATAAGAACATAGAGTTATCACATTAAAAACATATGTATTCTTTATTTTATTCTTATTTTCTTAATATAAATGTTTCACAACTGAGCTACAATAATGTATTATGAAGATGCAGTTGTTTTGTTGCTTTTTTGTGTGTGTGTGTTTTTTTTTTTTTTTTTTCATATTCATAGAATATTAATGTTAATATTAACTTAAACTTTCCTGTGAAGTCAATGAGATTTCTTTAAAAAATGACTCTGATCATTCAGAATTTATAACTAAAATATCTGGTGATTTGTTTTCATTAAGTTTTCATTAAGCTTTAAGCAAGAGATTAATATTATGTACAGAGTAAAGAGAATAATCAATTATTACTATTTGAAGGAAAAGACTTTACAATCTCAGAATAATTCTAAACCACCATTTGTTACAGTGCCTATTTTCTAGGGACTCTGAGACACTCTTAGTGGTCACTGTTTAATTCTTCATCACAGTTTTGATTTATTTTCATTGTAGGCTAAACTCTGATTTACATCTTTCAGCTCTCACTTTTGGGTTTCATACTGGGAGAAGTCATAGATCACATAGGTCACAACAAGGGGCAGTCATTTTGTTCTGACTTAGGCACTAAAGATGGCTCACAGCTGAGCTATACATTTGTAAAACTGAATCTCCATTTTTGTTTCAGCACCAAAAGTAGAATCTGCCAGACACTAGATACAGACACTGGATACAGACGCTTGTCAATGCCAAGACAGTATATCTCTACCTAGGCAAAATTAAAGTTAGTTTTATCAAGAAAAAGAAATGTTTTAGGATATTTATTTATTTAGGAAGGAGAGCAATTAGGAAACAGAAGGATAATATCTATGTGAAGAATCAAGATTATTTCATTCCCTGTCAGTCAGGAGGGAATAGAAATCTGCAATTATTGAGACAGGACTCCTTCCTCTGCAAAGTCAGTCAGCTTTACACTGTCACATTTTGCTTAGTGACAGCAGGAGTTAATGAGGAAAACCTATAATGAAGTTAAGGAATATGTGTAATAGTAATGAGAGCAGCAAATGTAATATATAAAACTCATGTATTACAAAGAGACTTACTAGAATATTTGTAAGGAAAAATGTAACTCCAGTTGTATAATAACATTTTAGAGAGAGAGAGAGAGAAAGAGAGAAAAAGAAATATTATACAGATTTGTTTAATGATGACTAAAAAAAGTGTCACCTTTCCTATGCTGCTTTTGTTTTGTTTTGTTTTGTTTGTTTGTTTGTTTCCCCCTGACAGGTTCAGAAAAAATTTATTTAGAGTATGAGCAAAGATATCTAGATTTTCCTGAGCTTGGAAAAAGTGATTGTTAAATCCAGGGACAAGTGAGAACGTTCTCAGACAAAATCCAATAAATTGCAATCGATCATTTCAATTGTGAAATAAAGGCTTGAGAAGACGAAGCTTTGTGATGTGACACTGTTTTCCATTAAATAATGAAGTAGTTACTGCTACAGTAATCCTTTGTCAAATAATAGGGAGTAAGGACAATTCTTCCATCATTATGTTATTGTATTTTGTGGAAGTACTTGAAACACTAGAAAACAATATACTGAAATCACAGCAATTGGAATGTTACAAAGGATTTGCCTTTGCAATGAGAAAACGATTTGCTTAGTTTGCATACTTATTGGTTACAAAAGTATCTGTCATTTATCATTATTAGTGATGCTCTGAAGGTCTCAGTAGAAACTACAGATTATATATGCTACTCTGCACAATAAGGAACATGAAGGAATTAAAAGGAAAAAACAAAAAACAAAACAAAACCAAAAACACCATGAAAACAAAAATAAGGTCAGAAAACCTTTGAAATAAAAATAGAAGGGGCAAGAGCAATATGAGGTATCTGAATTTTGTAAAGATTTTTATGAATGTCATTTATCTGTCATAGACATCTATTTTTAGAATCTTCCTCTTTTAATCCTTACTACCTCTTAGCTCTTAATGGAATAATAATACTCAGCATTCCATCTCATTGTCTCTATTTGCATGTTTTAGGAATTTTGGTCTTTCAGTCAGTTGCTAAGAAGAAAGATTCATCTTATCTATCTTGAAACAATATTCAGAGTAAATTTATATGTCCCAGCTAATCACTTTGTTATCTTTACAACATGTAATCAGAGATTTTCAACTACTTTGAAGTTTTGATTCACTCAATCTTTTTTTTAGGTGTTTCCTTCAGAATGAGATGAATTATTCCATGGTGTAGTAGTAGTCTCTCATCGTTCGTCCTCTGCCGACCGAGGGCGCCACTTGCCAGCGAAACCGACCCCAACCGGGCCGGGGCC